AGAGAGAGAGAGAGAGAGAGAGAGAGAGAAATGAGACAATCGGTACCTGAGAGCTGATCCAAACAGTGTTTTCTCAAACAAATTATATATAAATATTTATAATTATGAATACATAACTTATTATTTACACTATTTTAAATAAATAACTAAAAAACTATTATAAAAATGTTTGCACACAAAAAATACTGATCACTGAATAGACAGAAACTATGCGAACACAGCGTTAGAACATAGCGTTCAATGGGAGTGATAGCTCTCTATGGATAGCATCGTTATTACAACACTTTTGTTTGCATCCAAAGCCCAACAACTCCTCACTGCATATGGCAGTGGTTTTGCGACACTGCATGTGTTGACCCCAACCAGCGATATATACGGGAAAATGCATGCGTTGTCTACCAACCCCTCCATACAATCACTGCCATTCCCACCAATCGTCTACTACGCCCTCAGCATTTATACTATGCGAACAATAAGGTTAAGCTATAGTCCATAGCCTATGCCATAGGCTCTATGTTTAAGCAATAATAAACAATACTTACCAAATAAGTACCAAAAATATTTAGTCTTTAATACCAATAATAAATAAAATTAAAAATATTTCACAATTTTTTCCAAAGATATTTGTTTAAACGTTATATTTAATAACATTTAATTTGTTTTAATTTGTCTAAAGTTATAATGTTTTTCACAATAACTTTAAAGAATTTGAATTAAAACTTTTATTTTAAAAATGAAACTTTATTTTAAATAACTGCACAAATAGTGCGAACACACAAATAGTGTGTATTTTGATGTGATTTACATTTTTGTATTCACTGTATAGACTGTCTGTATGTGTTGTAAGTCTGGGACTTAAATAGGGTGACAATTGGGTCACTTCGATGTCCAGTTTATTCTGGGAATGAATGTACAGTATGTGTGTAATTGTCGGCAGTGTTTGTGTTTAACAGATTGGTAGTGAAAATAGGGTTACAATTAATTAGTTTATGACTTAAAGTTAAAGTTTAAATATTTCAAAAATAGATGAAATATAATTTCTATAAAATATTTCATTTTTACTTTACATATATTTAAAATGCAACAAGCAAAAACTATCAGCATTTTAATTAAATATTATAGTTATTTTATAAATAATTAATTTTTGTCAAATGTGTTTTTTACAAAAATTGTTGATTAAAAGTTCATTATATAAGTTATTTGTAATTAAAATCCCCATTTAAAAGCCATTTAATATAAATCAATAGTAAAGATTAATTTTGAGTGCAATAATTAACTTTCACATCATAATAATTTTTGCGAAATATTATATTTTACTGTTTAAATGAGCATGATAAATAAGGCTAGAAATGATATTTTTTATGTATATTTCAACATGATTCATTTATGAGATTTTACATTAAAAGTACTAGATTAAGGTGCAAAACATACAAAATTATACTTTAATATAAAGTTTTTACCACCAAAGTTTCACTTTTTTTTCTAGCCATAATGATAAATGTATTTAGCATAGTGTGATTCTCACGCATAAATAATATGGATTGGTGTTGGAAAATAAAGTATAACAAACCAAATGGTAGAGACGGTCGCAGCTGTTAATGAACAATGAAATTTTTATAAATTGATTTAAATTAAATTTTCTTTAAGGCTTTTTAAATATACTTTTTTAAATTGTAGTTCACTCTTTGTATTACTAATATCAGTTAAAACATTTTTGGGAATAGCGCACTAACTTATTTTAGGACTTTCACATTGTAATGATTATTTAATTTATGATTATTTATGTCGTGAATAACACATTAAAAATAGGAATTTATAGCGTTTGTTACAAACAATGTCCACAACTTATAGTTTGAGACAAAACAAGTTAAATACATATCAATGATAATAGTGTTGCCAAATAAAAACCACACGGTCGGAAAAAGTTGCCCCAATATGTAGTGATGTATTCATTGATTTCATAATAAACATTATTAAACGATGTAATTATAGACAGAATATTCTGTGAACTCAAATATGATTTATTCATAAAATAATAAAATTAATTATGTTATCGTGTCTTACAAAACAAGATTTTATAAAAAACTGAATTCTCATTAGATTTAAGTGTATTTAACACTGAATTGAATTCCTTGTGATTCGCGATTATCGATAGACCACTCGTTATGTTTGGCCAACACTTCCCGACACTCAGGCCTTTGTCTCCACACAATTGCCATCATATCCACCAGCGTTTGAGACATACATAGTATGCATGTCTTGACTGCCAATTCATTTGCTTCAAACGATTGCGAGCTATAAATAAAACATAATTAAACTAAAATGTAATAAATATTATATTTAAAAATATTTTTAAAACTTCTTACACATTAAAATCAATGCCAAACAACTCTTTCCCGATTACACCGACACTATATATGTCTGACTTGTGATTATACTTCGGGTCGTTAAATACTTCGGGTGCCATATATGCGAAAGTGCCGGCACCTAATGTATGGATGTTTCGGGTGTCAGTGTGTCGGCTCGGGTTGTGTTCAGTGGCCAAACCAAAGTCACACAGTTTTACGCACCGATTGTGCCTAAAGTTTGTATCGATTAATATATTCTCGGGTTTAAGATCCCGATGAATCACTTGTGGTTTCAATCCGTGAAGATATTCAACACATTCTAAGAGCTCTTTGAATATTTCACACGAAATGAAATACTCGAATGCGTTCATCGGTTCGGCCGCCGATTGGCGGCCAAATGCCAACCCTTTGTCGGCCAATACTGAGCGCATACTTTGCGGGCAATACTCCATCTGAATGTATAGCACATTGTCTTCGGGCCACGAGATGTGATACTTTACCACATATTGTGAGCTCAGTTTTGCTAAACGTTGCGCCTCTTTCAGCACTCGCTGTTGACATCCATTACTTCCCTCAGCTATTATATAAAGTTGGTTATTATATTTCGTCTAGTCTAGTTAATTATTTAATTAATCAAACACACTTACCGGGGTAGGTGACTTTTTTGACCGCGTACACAAAACCATCCCATTTATGTCTCACTTTAAACACAGTGCCGAACCCACACCTCCCTATCTGATCGAGTTCATCAAAAGTATTATGGTAAAAGTTGTTACCTAGTTGTTGGCTTAGTTGTTGGCTCTCACCTGTAATTAATTCAATATAATTTAATATAGTATTTATTAACATCATTTAACATCATGATTTATAAATTTTAATTACCATTATTGCTTCCCATTGGTGTAATAGTATCGCTATAACTGGCCATCGGTTGTAACACTTCTCTGAACTCTTCAAATGACATAACACTCACTGTATTCTCGCTTTTTATTTGGATATCATTTGATGTAATTATTGTCATTTCATTCATATCTCGCAAATCAATTGTTTTATTAGTTATTTGACATTCTTTGGCGTAAAAGCCGACGAAATTGTTATATTTTGTTTCGTATACTTTGCGATCGTTTAGTATTTTATATACTTTTTTGTTATGCAAAACACTAATGAATTCACTTTTATTAGTATTAATACCGAAATGAATTTCTTGCAAATAATAGTCAAATAATTGTATCGGAAATCTTTCAATCATAACATTACTGTTATTATAATATTTGCCACAAAAGTAGAGACCATTTGATGTGTGAAAATAAGTACCCAATTGTGAACAACAGACAGATATGACATCACTTATGGTTGATATCATTAGGGGTTTCAGTACTTTATCATCGGTTATATTGTGTCCCAATCGATGGTTACAATTCTGACCCCAACTGAAGACCTGTCCGTCGGATGTGATGGCAAACGACGAGTCGTTATAACAATAAACGGATTGTATTTTACAATTACCAGCGATTTGTATCTCAATTGGTATACAAATAAATCCACTTTTATCACCATCACCAATTTGTCCCGAGTAATTGTTACCCCAGGCATACACCCGGCCATCACTCGTGAGGGCCATTGCGTGCGAATAATCACAACTGATTTGAACAATATTTTTACCGCTAAAATATTGTATTAGCTCTGGTTTTAAATAATCAGTTTGATTGTGACCCTGGGCCAATTGGCCGCATCTATTACTACCCCAACTGAATACGTTATTCACGTCATTTACTGCTAACATGAATTGAAATCCATTGACAAAGTATTGGATGTTTTTATGACATAACTCTTGTATTATTTGCGGCGGTTGTGTCAGTACAGGGCTGTTGTGTCCCAAACCCAGACATCCGTTGCTATTATGACCAAAACCATAGACAATGTCTAAGTTTGTGACAAATAAAACATTGCATTTATTAATACAATCGTTGAAAACATATAGTTTTGCAATATTTTCCCTAATATTTAGCGGTATTTTATCACAAATCGCAAACTTTTTCAATAATTCACACATTGTTTAAACATTAAATACACAAAACAATAATTATAATTAATTGTGTGAATAATTAATGCACAAAATAAATGCCATTTTTATTTTTCAATATATTGTCACTTGTATTAAGAAATTACACGACTATTTGTATCATCAAAAACACGTTTAAAGTCAGCTTTTTATGATAAAAAATAGCATTTGCCGCAAATAATTATCAAAACACATAGTTTGAGATAAACACACATGCTATGCATAGAAATATGTGTGCAGTGCGCATGCGCACATATTGCTGATAACATACCTGACGATAACACACCTGACTGGTGAGATTAACATCTGAAGAACTTGAGTCATATTTTTATAGCCTTCAGTCTATTAAATATGTTGACAATTTACATACTGATGAAAGGTATACTGCATATTAAATAGTGTTGCATAGAATTCAATAGTTCTGTATTTTAAAGGTTAATTTAGAATAGTTTTAAAACTTTACTTACCATGAGTTTTCAAATTTTTTTTAAAAAATAGTTAAATAAATAATTTAAACATTTTCATTTTAAAATTAATCATACTCGATTGTTTTTATTAATTAAATGATAAAAATTATTAAATACACATTAATTATAGTAAATAATAATTTAGATCAAGTTCACAATAATTGTGTGCATATATTGGAAACCACAAAGTGTTACACAAGTCATGAATTACCATAAATTGAGATTAAGTTTTAATTAAATGAAATAAATGTAAATATAATGAAAGATTAATTAATAAAAACTAATGAAATGGCAATTAAAGGGATAATTAGTTGGGAATAACGGTAATAATGGTAATAACGGTATAACTGATGGGACGGTTGGGATGACTGGTCTTGGCGTGAGTCTTAAGCTCACGCATACTGTCGCTCAGACTGTGGCAGACATCGCATCGGAGCTGCCTTTTGGGTGGGGCTGACGGCCGGTGCGGCGCCGGCGGTGGGGCTGTGGCTGTTGTGGCCGAACCATCGCTACTGTAAATACAATCAATAATTAATCATAAATTAAATAAATATATTTAAAACATAATTCATTCAAAATAATAACTCACGTATTGTTGGCATCACTAGTACTCGGGATCTGTTCGGTGACATCCCTATCATCGCATTCAGTGCTTTGGCCGCCATTTATGTCTTCATTATCATTGACTTCGGTGTCACTGTCTGTCTCGCTATCGAGTGGTTTAAGCACTCGTTTGTACTGACTATGGCTGAGCTCACTATCGCCGCGGCATCTCTTTGCCGGCGGTTCCCCTCCCGGAGTCTTACCGATCAAATCGCCGACAAAACTCTTGAGCGCTTCTCCGCTCTTATTCTCGTAGTTAAGGGCCGGCAGTCGACGCACAGCCAGTCGTACAGCTCGTAGGGGTTGTCGGCGGCGGAGGCGGCCGTCTTGGGCCGCCTCTAACACCTCTAACCACTGCTCAATTTGTCCGTCGATTACGTCGTGTCGAGTGAACGCTACAAACTTGTGCTCAATGAGCTCCTGGCGTTCGTCACCCGTCAGCCATCCCTCGTTGACGCGATTGCCACTCAACTGGCGTATGGCCTCTACGGGTGAGTCGCGGAGCGAGTGGTTGTGCTGTGCGTTCAAGTGCTGGAGTATATCGCGGGCCGTATTGTCCATCGATTTGTGGCAAAGGCCGCACTCTATGTCTGTCCAACACGAGTGCATATATACGTGTCTTCGGAGCGCACGGATGCTATCAAAAGGTCTGACCATCAGTCCTTTCATGTCGGCCACGCGTTCACATACGGGACAGTATAAGTCACCCGTAATCTCTTCCCACTCGTACTCATCGTTCATCTCTCTCAACAACTCCGGCGCCGACTGTTTGGTCAGAAACTGCTTACACCACGACCTGACCCGACGCTCGACCCCATAGTCGGCAGCTTGGTTACTAATGTCGGGAAAATGGCTGATCATGTGATCCATAGCTTCGCAGTACATGTGCTGTCTTTGATCGCAGAATAGGCACACGTATTGAGGCTCGCATTCAGTGGCCTCACTATCGCCTGTATCTGACTTCTGGTCTAATTCTGTGTCTTCTTCATCGACAGCAACATTATCTTCAATATTAGTGTTTTCAGCCTCTGTGTCGTCATCGGTGGTCACCTCTTGGGGAGCAGTGTTAACAGTGTTGGGCGCTCTGCCTCTGGCCCTAGCGATGGCCTCTTCGTCCGGATCGCTGTCCGGCCCGTCGTTTATGAAGTCGTAATCATAGTCTTCAGACACCGACCGGCGCTGACGTTTGCGTTTGGGCGCATCCAATAGAAAAGTGTCAGCCCTGGGCTCGGGTTGAAAGGGTTGGTCCAACACT